CCCCCCCCGGCGCCCCAGCGGAGGTGAAGATGGCGGTGGTGGCGCCGCTGCTAGCGCTGCTATGCTCCGTGCCCGGCCTGTGCCGCTGGCTGGCCCGGCCCTACTACCTGCTTTCGGCGCTGCTCTCCACCGCCTTCCTGCTGGCTCGTAAGGTGCCGCCGCTGTGCCAGGGGCTGCCCACGCAGCGCGAGGACGGCAATGCTTGCGACTTCGACTGGGTGCGTGCGGGGCGCGGGGGAGAGCGGGGACAGGCCCCGCTCAGCCCGGGCCGCTCCGCGCCTCGGGACGGGGTGTCCGTCTTGCCCCAGAGCAGACCGGGGCTGTGGGCGGCTGCGTGCCAAGCTGGGGCAGGTGCCGGCGGGCTGAGACCTGCACGCCAGATAAGGCTGGAGCCAGCTGTGATCGCTGCCTCCAGCGGACGCCAGTGGCATGTGCTGCTGGCACCAGGTCTTGTGCGTGTCAGTCTGTGCTGGGTACTTCCAGGTGGAGCTGGCCCAGTTGATGCTTGCGGCTTGCCCCCTTTTCTGTGCCGGGGGGCTCTGCCCAGGCCCCCCTAGGCTGCATTGGTTCAGCCTGAAGCCCCTCCTTCCTCCTCTCCCTCCATCTGGAATGGTTCAGCCTAGGAAAGCAGTTCCCAATCTGTGGTACAGGTACCACCAGTGGTACGCAGCCAACCTGTCTGTGGTACGCATTACCAGATTTATTATCGTTGCTTTGTAGGACAGAAATCTGCTGGGGGTACTGAAAATTGCTGGGGCCACTTAAGGTTGTATCACTTTAAATTGGTGGCATGCAATCTGTTAGTTTGGGAACTGCTGACCTACGTACCTACAATCTTGTGCTGTACTGGTTCAGACCAGACCTCCCCTCTGTCCTGTGCAAGTGCTCCTGTGTGTCATATATCTTGTGCTGTGTTAATCTGGCCCAGTACACCACCTCTATGCCCTCCCCAGGTGCCCCCAGGCCTGTGCTGCATTGGTTCAGCCCTGCATTTGCCCTCACCCCCCTGCTGCCATGTCCCAGCCCCATGCTCACTCCACAGTCTCTTTCAGCGGGAGGTGGAGATCCTGATGTTCCTCAGTGCCATTGTGATGATGAAGAACCGCAGATCTAGTGAGTGTCTCCTGTTTCCCTCCTTGCAGCTCCTCTTCCTGGGGCAGGAGCCTCCTTGGCATGGGGCTGACTCCCTGTTCTGCCCTCGGGGGTGGGCAATTTTCCCCCCCCCTCTGGATGCCCACAAGGCTGCCCATGGGATGGCTGGGTCCCCACTTCATGACCCCAGGACTGGTCTGTGGAACTGCTCTAGGAAGGAGGGCAGGCAGGCACAGAGCATGTGGTCAGAGGACACAAGGAAATTTGTGGAGGAATGGGGGGGTCAGTCTGTGGTAGGGATGTGAAAAGTTAAATGGTTAATTGTTTAACCAATAAGCCCAGTGATAACTAATTGGCTTACCAGTTATTGTTTAGTGCGGGGCTGGATACAATCTGGCAGGGAAGGGAAGCTGCCACTACCCAAGCAGGGAAGGGAAGGGAAGGGAAGGGGAACTAGTATCCCTAGCCCATGAGGTTAACCAGAAAAACAGCGGGTAGCCTAATAACTTAACTCATCAGTTAAGCAATTACCTCTTCCTCCACAGGGGACTTCATGTGGGTTATGTTGTCTGGCTGTGGGTGCAGCTCCCAGCAGCAGCTGTGTTACAATTGTTATGTTATCGGTTAACCCAGGGGTGGGCAATTATTTCGGGCGGAGGGCCGCTTACTGAGTTTGGGCAAGCCACCAAGGGCCACATGACAGGCAGCTGGGGCAGGTAAATATTTATTTTCTAAATTTTTTAGGGGCCCCATGGGCCAGATAGAATGGCCTGGCAGGCCACATTTTGCCCACCCCTGTGTTAACTGTTTAACCAATATAACTAGAGAAGGTTAAATGGATAGGGTTTTTTTGTTTGTTTTTGTTTTAAAGGATATTTACATCCCTAGACTATGGGGTGAGGTTTAGGGAGGTGATGGGACAGTAAGCCTTGGGTCTGAATGGGGAGGAACTTGGCTAACAAGTGCAATACTGCTGTTTCTTCTTCAAGCTTCTTGGCTTTCTGGTGTCCAGGGATGAGTGCCTGGCCCTCCTGCTGACCCCTGCCTCTCTGTCTCCCCCCAGTCACCATAGAGCAGCACATAGGCAACATCTTCATGTTCAGCAAAGTGGCCAATGCAATCCTCTTCTTCCGACTGGACATCCGCATGGGGCTGCTGTACCTCACCCTGTGCATAGGTGAGACCCAGGTCCCATTGCGGTTCTTGAAATGCCTTCTTTGAGAGAAGCCTGCGCTGTGGCCTCTGGACAAAGTCCCTGTCAGCCCATTCCTTGATTGTTTCTGTGGTGGCTGGTTCAGCAGAGTTGGGCTGTCGGAGGGATGCAGATGGGACGGGGAGTTAATGTGTGGGTCCAGCTCCAGCCTGTTATGGGACTGTCCTGCCTCTCGTTCTCTCTGCGGGGGCAGAGAGGGCATGTGACAGCATTGCTTTAGGTTTAAGTGTCATCCGTGATCCATCTTTGGACCAAACACCATCCTCTTGATGAAGTCTTCCCACTTTTTATTCTCTCCACATTGGAGCAGTGGCTGCCCCAGGGGGCACCCACTCCTTCCATATCAGCCCTTTGCCCCTATCAGTGGACTTGCTTACTAATATTGTCTGAATTGTAGTGACACCAATGGGCTCCAGCCCAGGATAGTGCCTATTGCGCCAGGCACTGCACATGGAGCATAACCACTGCCAGCCTGCCCATTATGCAGAATTCAGGATGTAGGGTGGCAGCTCTGCCTGGTGCATAGCAAAGTAGCTAGGACTTGGGACCTCTTTTCTTCTGTTCCTTGCTGTGCCACTGTCCCTGCTTGGTGAGCTTGGGCACAGCTCTTCCACTGTCTGTGCCTCAGTTTCCCTGTCATGAAATGCGTTTTGATTCTAGTTGATGTTAAGTGCCAGGTGGAGGTGCTGCCACTTGGCTCAAAAACAGGATGCTTTTAAACCAGCCTCACTAGGGTTGGCTGCTGCCACTCCCCCAAGCTGTGCCCCAGTATGACAGGTCCAATACCTTCCAGCTTTGAACGGTGCAAAGATTGAACAAATTGCTCCTGGGGTAGAGGCTTGTACAGAGTTGGCTCATTCATGATGTGCTATGTGTGTGCCTTTCTAGTGTTCCTGATGACCTGCAAGCCCCCCCTCTACATGGGCCCTGAGTACATCAAGTATTTCAGTGACAAAACCATTGATGTGAGTATTTCCTGCTTCCCTTCCTTCCCCTGCCCTCCAAGCCATGAAGTGCATGTAGTCTGGGGTGGCTTGCAGTAGATCTGTACTGCTGTTTAGAAGGTCACCCGTGTCTACCCCTACCATATGAGTTGTTCCTCTCTCTTTACATTGCTTTGTCGTATACATGCCAAGCACAAAAGGAGAGACGGGTAGTGGGCAGTATGCTAGTAGAGCTCTTCTAAGTATTGCCTGTCTACCTGTCCACCTGTCTCTCCTGTGCTTGGTTATAATGATGGGCAGTAAAGCTAGGAAGTAACACATAGAACATCTGGAATGTGGGTGCTAGCAGACAAGACCCTGCAACACTGTGGTGAACACTTTAGGGGATGGGAGCCATGCTTAGGAGAGCTTCTAGGGGTTAACAGGCCTGCTGCCAAGGATGAGTTCAAGGGTATTTAACTGTAGGCTGCATTGGCAACACACAGGGGGTGCACGCAGGTGCGCATGGACCCCCTAGCTTGGCAGTGCATCCCCTGTAGAAGGCACCACCATCACTACCAGTGGCACCTGTGGGCAGTCACCGCTTTCTAATCCCCCCCCCCCCGTCTACACTGCCAGCAGCATCCGCAGATGGTCCCTGATTGCCACTGGCTGGCCGTTGCATCTGTGGGTGGTTGCCAACCATGGTTGGCGCTTGCTCACCACCTTGCCGCCGACAGTGCTATGGCTGCCTGCAGGAGCTCACCGCCTGCTGCCGCCATACTCCCACTGCTGACAATGCCACCACCGCCTGCAGAAGCTCACCATGCTGCTCACTCCCCCCCACGTCCAAGGGCACGTGGTGTTCATGGTAGGCTAGAAGGGTAGGAATAGCAGGGGCAGGGCTGAGTAGCAGGGCAGACATGCCCTTGGAAACCAGCTTTGAGCCTGTGATTGCCCCTTTTTCAGCCTATCCAGCAGGCTGTGCTATAACACAAGGGAGGGAGACCCACCAGGGTGCTGGCCTGGTAGAGTTGGGACCAGGCCTGGAGCATTGGTCTCCAACTGACCCGTTGCTGTATCTTACAGGAGGAGTTGGAGCGGGACAAGCGGGTGACATGGGTTGTGGAGTTCTTTGCCAACTGGTCTAGTGAGTGCCAGTCATTTGCACCCATCTTTGCTGACCTCTCTCTCAAGTGAGTGACGTCCACCTGGGGATTTGGTGAGTTGGGGCTGGTGGAGGGGGGAATGGGAAAGATCCCAGTTGCACCCTCTGCCAAGCTGGACTCTGTGAATGGGAAGTGGAGTTGCCTTAGCTAGAGCTGGGGCTCATGGCAAAGGAATTGGCTTGGTTGGCATCTTCCTGCACTAACCACATCTTTCCTCTCCCCCACCCAGGTACAATTGCACAGGGCTGCACTTTGGGAAGGTGGACGTGGGCCGCTACACAGATGTGAGCACCAGGTGAGCATGTTCAGGCTGTGCTAGGCATGGGGATCAAGAAGTGTAATGCTGGGGGGTGCTCTGAGACTGCCCATTCCCTGCAGCACTAGAGTGACTTTAGGATCTGAAAAATTCTGCCCTGGCTGCAGAGGATCCTTAACCTCTAATCCTACTTGGGAGAGGGACTGAAATCTGAGCCCTTTCTCTTGTCTCTGCCCCATTTACCAAGGGGTTTTCTGCTTGAGAAGGGCAGGTAGCCCCAGCATGCCTCTGCCTATCTGCAGTAGGGATCAGGTAGGGGACATGAGTGGCCAGGGGAGAGTCGCACTGTTTGTGTCCTCTGTCTCTGCAGGTATAAAGTGAGCACCTCGCCCCTCACCAAGCAGCTGCCCACCCTGATCCTCTTCCAGGCTGGGAAGGAAGTAATGCGTCGGCCACAGATTGATAAGAAAGGCCGGGCTGTCTCTTGGACCTTCTCTGAGGTGGGGTGTGCGTGTGCTTGAGGTATAGGCTGGGGTCTGGGGGTGCCTGTACTATCAAGCAAGGGGATGCTCTCATGGTTGAGTCATAGGGGGCTGTATGCACCAGGTGTCCTGTTGTTGCTCCTAAGATTCCTTTTACTAGAGCCCCCCAAGGATTGACATGGACCTTTGTCTGATTTAGTATCAAGTAAACTTTAATAATAGTAACCCATAGGCTTTATTAGAAGCTTCCTCCCTGTAATGGGATGTGGCAAGTGGTTTCTTCAAACGTTACAACAGCAGCGTTGGGTGGTACCGGCCTCAGATCCTCTGCTCTGTGTGGGATATCTTAGTTTCTGGAATCCCCATTGTTCGAACAAGAATTCTAAGGGTGCTCGTCTCCTGAGGATGGCAACACTAAACACACATCATCTTTGTCCACTGCTTCTGTAACTTTTTTTCTTACCTTTAAACTGTCCTGTCCTCAAGTTCCTTACCTCATTAGATAAGGTACTCCGATCCTATTCCATTTTTGGCTTCCTTTCCTTCTAGGGCAGTGATCTCCAACCTTTTTATGGTGCAGCTCACTCTTTTTTTGGAACTGAAGGTTGCCCCAGGATATACTGTGCCCCACACACCTTTGGACCATGGAGTGTCCCAGACCCAGCTGGGTCCTCCAAGGACTTTTTGCTAGTGGCATCATTGCCTGCATTCTTATTCCTTCAGGCCATGAAGACCCTACTTTTTTAAATAGCCCTTGCAGGTTTTGCTTGTCCCCTAGCCTTCTAGTAACAGGGCAGGTGCTCCCTGTTGCAGGGCACTTCTACCCACTGGCTGTTTGGGGTCCTTCTGTTGAAGGGTGTATGAAGGCTGTGGAGTGCTGATGCTTTGGTGTCTCTGTGCTGCAGGAGAATGTGATCCGGGAGTTCAACCTCAATGAGCTGTATCAAAAGGCCAAGAAGCTGTCTAAGCAGCCACGAGATGATGTGCCTGAGGAGGCTGCAGAGCGGCCAGAGGTCCTGGCTGCTGGTGTGGAGCTCCCTAATGGTGAAAGCAAGAAGGACAAGTAGAGCCTTTCCTACCCTTTCCAGATAACCCCCTCCTTCCCCTTTTGTTTGTGCTGCAGCAGTGCCCAGCAAGGCCCAGCTAGAGGCTGGTGTCCCAGCATAACTAGTGGAAGCTGTGTGATTGATGGGTCATGCCACCCCACCACTTCACCCCCCACACACAGATGCACCCTGTGACATGTGGGATTAGTCACATCTCTGCATCTCTACTCTTTCCTTTCCTGGGACAGGGTGCCCCCATGGGAATGGCAGAAAGGGAAGGAGGGTCACTGAGCCCCAGGAACTGGTGATGGCTAGCAGCAAGCTGCAAGGGGTGAGAAGTGATGGTTTTGCTAGGGCTGAGCACTGCCCATGCTTAATCAAGCCATGTCATTGTGGTCCAGAAGGGAGATTCTACTTTGACATCTAAAGCAATTTGGCTTGGGGGTAGAGGGTTGATTCTCCCTACACTCCCATGCTCCAGCTTGGGTATGAGCTGGTATGGATTGAGGGAAGAAGATGCCTTTCCGGTCTACCCTGTGTTTAGGCTAATATGCCCTGGCCAAAGATCTGCGCTCTCAATTTGGATCATGGTTGGGGGGTAAAGGTTGTTTCAGATATACCCTGGTTAGTGTGGCTTAGGCCTCACAGCCTCCCTCCCTCCCTCCCCCCCCTGCTGCAGGGTACTGTGCTAGGAGGTCGGGGGTTGGCCTGTTGCCTAGAGGGAGCCTGATCAGAATATATTCTCCCCCTTCCCCCCCCCCCTTCTTCGAATCAGCTCTTCTAATCCACAGGCTCTTGGTTTCATGTGGCACTGCTAGGCAGAGCTGTCTATGTTGCTTATTGGGGAAAAGCAGGGCTCTGGGCACGGTGGTGG